TCCTTTTTTTTTTTTCCCCCCCCCCCCCCCCCCCCACAGGCTGCAGTGCTCGCTCTCTCTGAAAAAGACTTTGATGCAACCATTGCTAGGGGGATCACGTTTATTAAATTCTACGCTCCATGGTAAGAAGTTCGCACCTGTTGTTGTTCAGGATTATTGCTTGTCTAAGCTGTCAGTGCATTAGTTGCTGTACGTCTTTGAGTTTTGTTAGTACTGTATTTGTTGTCTGGATCTAAAATATGAATTAACTGAAGAGTGCGTATGCCGGCAAGAGTTACAGCAAAAAAGCTCAATCTGTTTTAGCTTTCTTGGGGTGCCTCTCTGTGGAAAGTCTGACAGAGAAGCTTTACCGTGTCAGCCTCCATGTAATGCTGCAGAACAAGGAGAGTGAAGCTTTCTTTGCAGGCTTAGCGTGCTCCTATCCCTTGATTAGGGTAAGGTGAGGGGAGTGTATCACCAGTGTTGAGAAAGGAGAGTATGCTGGCCTTTGGGCCCTTTCTTGCCACAACCAACCTCACTTGGAAGCTGCATTTGAGCACCTGGGAATTGGTACAGACTGTAGAGCTATGGGTAATTGGCCGTTAGTCTTCAAATAACTGACAAAAAACTAATTTGCACAAGTGACAATATTGACATGTTCTTAAGAGTATGTTCCATGTAATATGTCCTTACAGTCACCCAAGGTAGAAATGTCCAATGCAGATGGTGTAGGTGTAGACACCCAATGGAAAGCATGGGGGGTGGCCAGGGAAGTAATGTCCTATCTGGCATCTGCCATTCCTGGCATATCCAGCAGAGCCTGGGACCCAAGCTGGGGTAAGACCTCAGTATTACAAACTCATAGAACAAGTATTTTCCCTCTTTTCTTACTGTTCGCTTTCTGAGACCAAAAGGAAGTTTTAAGTTTCTCTCTCTCTGGTTTATAGACTTCATCTTATTTGTGCCTGGATTGAATTTAATGAAACTTGCATGCCATCTTTCTCATCCATTGCCCAGTCTCTTAGCCAATAGAAGGAAGCCTAGTGTAGGGGGAGAGATTAAAATTAAGCTGTATTTCACTGTGTGAAGGAGAACGCATCTCTGATTTCATCACTAGCCATCCCATTAATGCAGTATATAAAATATAAAAAGATCTTTTGTTTGGAGTGGTAAAAGGTCACCATTACAAAGCAACACAAGCAAAGGCAACCCATATTTAAATGTGCTCAGGAGTATCAAAGTATTGCAGCTTAACTTTGACAGTGGGCATGAATGTGTTTCTTACTGTAGGCAAGAAGTACCAGGGAAAGTTTTGTTTTATGTAATCTCAATGATGCAGTATTTTCCAGTGTTGTCACCCTTTTTACTGCACTGTGGTTTGCTGCTTGAGAGACACTTCTATGCTCTCTTATGTCTGAAAGATCTGCTTTTGGATGTAGGCAAGCATCTGCCACCACTGTGTTAAGAAATACCCTGCCCATACACACACCCCTTCACGTTTACTGCTCTTTCTTTGCTCCCTTTATCCTCTTTGTACACTGTGAGGGACTGAGATTGAATCTGTGCCTGTGCTGCCACTGCACCACCAGCAGAACTGGCTGGTAAATTCAGTTTACACTTGTGCACAAAGCAGCTTCTAGTCTGATTTCTGAACCCAGGGCTTGTTGGCATACGTAGGAGTTCACTATCTAAGAAACTTCTGGAAAAATTTGAGATAAAGAAATGCTCCCTTTTTAATTAACTTTTCTTAATAATACTGCACTTTAACCATCTCCTTATCTCTTGAGATTCTAATGGGGTGTTGCTGGATCTCACAGATATGATCAGTCTTGGATGGCAGGCTGAGAAATTGTGATTCAGGATGCAGAGAGTCAAGTTCTTAAACCAGTGTGCGCTCCCTGGCTGCAGTGTTCAGAAAGCCACCGTTTAGGAAAATACTTCCTATATTTATGTAGCTGGTATCCTAGTTTTATCTCTGAAAGTCAGGCTTATGTATACAGTTTTAGTGCTCTGCATATAAATGACCTTTTTCTCTTCCAAGTGGATTAATTTATGTAGGTCTCGGCAAACACTATTATGTTGTTCACTAGTTCTGTCTTTCAGTTAGTTTTGGATAAATATTAATGTTAACTTGCATAGTAAGCATAAAATCATCCTCTTCTAGTAGTTTCTGTGCACGGTCAGAAATGCTTTTATACTGTCACTGTGTATTAACAAGGTGGTTTAAATATACACTGGCTTGCATTAAGAAAACTTTTGCTGAGACATCTTTCATTATTTTTGTAAATGCCCTGATCCAGCCTCGAGGCAATTACGGCGCTGTTTTAATAACCCAATTAAGGTGCAGCTGGGTTAGAATAGAATGAGCAATGCAGCTTTAAAGTCTAAAGTGCTTTGGGAATTCTTCTTGAAGGCAGTAAGAAGTTCAAGTTATGAACTTGGCTTAGCCAAGTTCAAAATAAAACCAAAATTAATACTTTACTATAGTTCCTGCCATTTTACAGTATCATTTTCTCTCCTGATACTAGTGTTTCATTGTGCGTACTCTCTGGACCACATGCTCATGTTACTGTAGAGACATAAGGGAATAAAATAGAAGTAGTCTTTTCGGTGTTTTTGATGATATAACTGGAATGATTCTCTATTTAAAGCAAATCGGAATAGGGCCTGATACAATTTTTTTTTTTTTTTTTTTTCCCCATCTGCTAAGTGAAGCTTATTGACTATCAAACAATTCCATTGTGGATCTACCTGAAAGTACAGTGGTAGTGGTCAAAAAACTTCTTCAAAGCACCTTCAGTGAAAAAGTGCATTAAATTACTGGAGTGTTTCATAAAAACAGAATCTGTGTTGACAAATGCCTCTATTAAAATTGAGTTTCCAGCACTGGGTGATGTACATTAGTCAAGGAGGCCATTAGGAACTGAAAGAAATTTAATAGGGAAATTAAAATCTCATTTAAATAATTAAACTCAGGCTATGTAGCTTTAGCATAACTGGCATATGCTACCTGAAAACTTAATTTGTACTACAGACATTCTGTGCCTTACTTAAAACATGTTTGTTTCTAAGCAATCTTTTTTTTTTTTTCCATTTAAATATTGTCTGTGCTCATCTTTATTTGGCTTCATATTCCTCTGTAGGGTAAAATATTAATGCACCAACATCCACCATACCATTCCAGACAAGACTAATGAAGGCCAGAAACTACTTTAGTGCTTAACTTACAGAAAATCACTTGTTTTCTTAGCTAATTTACTGACATAATAGTGCAAGGGAGTTGGAGGGCCAAATCATTAGGGGATAGGAAAGGCAGCTAGTTAAACTTACAGCTATTGCAGCAAGACAGTAGAGATAAACTGGAAGGTATATCTGCTAAACAAATCTCTCTCTTTTTTGTTTCTAGGTGTGGTCACTGTAAGAACTTGGCTCCAACTTGGGAGAACCTTGCCAAAGAGCAATTTCCAGGTTTGACTGATGTCAAAATAGCAGAAGTAGACTGCACTGTGGAACGTAACGTCTGCAACAGATTTTCTGTAAGTGTGAAAGATGTGAAATAAATGGGATAGTATTGTGTACCAAATGTTAGAGGTTCTAGTGTGCAGCCGAGCCGGCTGCCACATTGTGGGTGCCTGGTGACAGTGCAGCTGTGTTCTTTGTTAGCCAAAAAAGAGGTAGTTCAGAACAGCTCCTGGTGACACCGTTTCTTTCTTGGACTGTTTGTTCAGACTCGGTCATTCTCATTATTAGATAAAGCTGAAGAATTCTCTAATATAAGAAGCCTCCCTCTGTGAAAGCACCAAAGCGGTCTTGTGCAAAGTTCTGTTCCCAGAAAAAAAAAGTCTTTTGGTGCCAGTAGGCAGACAACCAAAGACAGAGCCGGAGCTACCATTCCAAGAGCCTAGAGGAACATGTATTATCCCATTCACTTACAAATGTTCAGAAATTGCAGGTTGGCCATCTGGTGTGGTGTTTGGGTTTGTTTTGTTGTTTTTTTTTAAATTAAAATGGCTTATTGTTTTAGAGGGGTGTGGTGGCTTTTCAGAGTCAGGTAGATACAAGTGAAGGCTACTAGTGAGTCTGGACATTAGTAATGTGTTTCTTTTTTTGTGTGTGTGTGTGTCTTTTGAAGGTACGTGGTTATCCTACACTTCTGCTTTTCCGAGGTGGAAAGAAAGTCAGCGAACACAATGGAACGCGAGACCTTGAATCACTGCATAGCTTTGTCTTGCGTCAGGCAAGGGATGAATTGTAATAAAAGTCTGGATGCTCCGTCCCTGGCTGTCTTTGTACAGTAGCTGAGGGATTTCAATTATTGCTAATTTTCAAATAGTGTATTTGGGGGTGGGAGTGGGGATTGGGGCATTTTGTTTGTTTGTTTGTTTTTAGGAAATGGAATGTACTAAACATTGGTATCTCCCCTCTGTGTGTGTGTTGAAGACATGCTACCCTGTGTGCAAAGGAAAACTAACAAGTAGTTACTGTGCAAATTGAGAATATTTTCAGCATTGGTAGCATTTCTGCATTCCCACAATGAAGTGTAAATGGTTTCCTTTGAGACTAAAATACATTAAGAAAACCAACTTAAGGGCACCAGTAGAGTATTTTTGTCTTCAGGTTAGATTTGGTTAAAAAGTAATCCTTACAAACTGGCCATCATTACTAGAAAGGTAAAAGCTACAGCTGTGTTGAGTCACTTTTGCCTCTACAACTGTACTTATACCCTACTTGTCTTAATATAGCTGCTGGTTAAGAAATGGAAAGTCATGGGAGGTTGAAAACACACACACCTTTGGAAGATACCAGGCCACCATGAGCTGGTTGTTTCCTGTTAATCCTCTCAGCATGGGAGGTCTAGCCATAATGAAGGTGATGGTACTGTAACATGTGCCTGAACATTACCGATGCCATAGTGTACGTGTGTCAGGTGGATTTTCACCATAGGCTGCTTCTGTCCAGCTCCAGAGGAGTAACTATGCTCTACTTATATAGAGCCAAAGTGAACAGGCGTTATAACTAAGTGCTCCGTTAATATTAAATGATCAGTTAGACTTCAGAGCCGATGACATGTGTTTCCTACTCTTGCCTAAATCCAGACCTTTGTGCTGACCTGCTCCTTATTCAGAGTACTTAGAGAACAAGTAGTACAATGTTTAATTTTTTTTTGCCATTCAGCTGTTCTACAGTAGTGTAAAATAGCTCCCCACTCTTCTTGAGCCTTAACCTTTTTCCAAGCTGTAAGCATTGGTAAGTTTGAATGCTAGGACCATGCACTCTGTGGTGCCTTGGATTATAATATGGATCTATTCTTTGGTGCATAAGATGTTCCATGTTAGACATAATTGAAAGCCAAAGAATTTACACTGCAGACTGTCACGATACAAAGACAACAGCAAACAAGGACTGAATTCTGCCATCTTGTGTGCACAGAAACTCATGGAATGAGGATGGCTACAAGCTAATTTGACTAATCTGTCAAGATGCTGATTTTTTTCCATCATATGGAGTTAGGTTGGGGATTTTTATAAAAAAAAAAAAAAAAAAAAAAAAAGGCAAAACAGCAAAGAACTTTTAAATCAATGAATTTCTCCTGGTACTTCACTTCACTGTCTGTCCAGAACTTTTGATTCTGTTTAATCTAAAAATGTGTAAGGGTGAAAAAGCCACAGTGAAAGCTAAGTGTTGTACTGGCAGATGTATTAGATCAATGTATATACTTCTGCCTTAAAGGAAGCCTTTATTATCACGTTTTTAACAACTTTCTAGTGAAGCACAATCTCATGAGTTTCTTGTATAAAATCAAAGTGGTACAATTGTTTACACTGAGATTTTTCTAAATAAAAACTTTTTAAAAAAGCAGTCTTTCTATAAATGATACAGCACAATGAATATACAGTGACAAGTGCAATAAATTATAGCTTGTATTTACAAGAAGCCTTTTAAATGCAAGAATTAGAGGTAAGTGCATTTAATACAAGTTTAATATTGATCAAAACAATTCGCTATTAGCTTCTGCTAGACAAACCATGGCTCCACTGTGAATGTATCCTTTATACGAGTTTGTTTGTTAGTTGCGTGAGTTGAAGGGGAAAGGTTGGCCAAAGACTTGCATATGCTGTTGACATTCTGTCTTCCTGTAAATAAATTGTCCAGCTAGAGAATGAATGGCCCCTAAACTTCTACGTCTCAATTACAGCTGTAGAAGTGTCCCAACTTCCTTCCTGGGCAAGCAGTAATAGATGAGGCAGCTCCACATGGGGAGTGGAAGGAAGTTGCATATAAGAACAAGTGTATAAAGTTATATTGCTCAGTCAAACAGTGAACTGGAAAGACCAGCCAGGGTCTGCATTCATGCTAGTGTTTCTAATACAGGGTGCAGCCAAGCCATCTTACGCTTGCAGGATCAGACTTACTTAAGCTGTGCTTGGAGAATAAGAGAACTGAACTGAAACACTTGCTTTGGCACAATTTAAGATACTTACTGTCACAACAGATTTCAGGAGGAGACAGTCTAGGTGTCGTAACTGGTCCTTCTAGACAAAAGGCAGTTTCTAATGTTAGGAATTTTTTATTATCTTGTACAAGATATATGCTCTAAGTCTTAAGTACTAACACCACTTTCTTTTACTCTAGCTTTCCTGTCTCTCCCCTTGTCTTCCCACCCCTGCAAAAAAACCTCACAGGTTTTGGGTGGTGGGTGCCCACCTGGTAAAACTGCAGCAGGCATCCAAGCAACTGCTAAGGCCAAGCTGCTATGTGAGATTAAGACTGTCCCAGCCAAATAAAGCGTGTGGGGGCAAATTGCTGCTTTGCGCACCCCGGCTCTGCAGAGCTGAGCAGCCACTGCGGCACAGGGTCAGTCTGTAAGAAGTCCAGCGGTTTGCTCGCGTCCCAGCGTGTGGTCGCCTCACCCCTTCCTCCCACAAGGCACATCCGTGGTGTTCTAAAAGGTGGTTCTTCAATTATTGTTTTCTCCAAGGTCGGGTAGTTCATGAAAGCATGGAAGGTAGCATGGAAGTTCATGGTAGAATCACAGAGTCCGTGTGAAGACTGTTTGTCAGTGACATCCACAAGCTCTTACTACCATATTCCTGTATTTCTTCAAGATTACGTTAGAATTATCATCAAAATAAAGAACAGATATGGCATTTAGTTTGGTAGGTGCACAGCATGGTTTGGGAACGTAATCAGGATTCATAAGATGAACCTGTTGCCAAAAAGAAAACACAACTGAGACAATGGTAACTTGTTTACAATTCACCTATCTCTGTGGCATCAGGCTTTCTGGAGACTTACCAGAGTTTGTACAATGGCATGATTGGTTGCGTTCATATGGGCGTTGAGTGGGAATGAGCACTCTCCATCACAGTAGTTGGCTGCGTAGCCCTTTGGAGCGATTATCCAGTCCTTTTTAGGAAACAAATAGAACGTGATTCAAATTAAAATGTTGCCAACTTGTACAGACAACTGCATGCTATTAAGAGAAGCTGAAAATTTTCCACTAACTTTTTTCTTGAGGGTGAAAATGTGTTTTTACTGAAACTGTTAGGGTTTGGGTTGGGTTTTTTTTGTGAGCCATGACTTTTCCATGGACACACTGACTTTAATGTCCAAAGAATGGTGCACGTCTATGCACAGCTTAACTGCCACGAACTAAAAGAGTTTTATTCCTAAAACTCTTGCTGGGTTGCCTTGTGGGGATTGTGGTTTGGATGCCTTTATGTTCCAACGTTTCCTGCAGGTTAGGCCCTCTGGCTGAACTACTGTTCCTAGGTTGAGTCACAGCCTCAGCTGGTGTCCCCTCCCAGAGAATCATGTATGTGCATGCGTGTGCGTGCACACATGCACAATTCAACCAGGGAGCTCCAGAACAGGAACATAAAACACTGGTGTGGTGCCTCACCGACACTCTTACCTTATACACTCTTATACAGGGACGCTAGTCTGCTAAGGTCACTGTGGGAAATTTTAGCTGTGTAACAGCTTCTCCACCTCTGCCAGACTGCAAAAGGAGGGGCAGGACAGCCAGCCTGAGCTGCATGTACAAGCAGGTGGCCTCAGTGGCAATCTGAGTGCCATGCTATGGAAGAAGGTAACTCTTCACCAAAGGGCTAATAAAAAAATTTACAGCTTCTCTGCTGCTTGCACGAAGGAGCTAAAGGTAAATTAAAAGCATCACCAATTAACAGGAGACATTTCCCCTCCCTTGGTGTCAAGGCTCTGCAGGTCACCCTGCAGGCAGACAGACTGGTACGCTTCACATGCGCGGAATTCTTAGACCATTTCCCCTTTGCCTGACAACACTTGCCTGGGTTAGCTTCAATTTTCCTACAGCAGGCCTGAGCAGCCAGAGACTGTTGCTGCAGCTTTGCTAGCCAGGTTTGCTGTTTGACTGCTAACATGAGGATACCTGGGCATAGCAAAACCACCCCTTCATTTTGCTGTACTAGCTCACCCATGATTTGCTCCCAGTAAACCGAGCTGCTTTTTGTAAGAAAGTCACACTCCTGCTACAGAAGCCAGTACAGACCGTGTAATTAAATTTGTGGTTTAATGCAGTATAAGAATAATAGAAGCGCTCTGCTAAAAAAATTGATGGATGTTCTGAAGGAGATAGCAATGCCCAACAACTGCAGGGGGCTGCTGCCCTGCCTCCATCATCTCCCTACAACAAGTAGGATCTGGATTCCAACTCCTGCAGAGCCCTGTTGGCCTGTGGCCTTCCTTTGGCAGCATCTTACCTTTCTGCTCAAGGCTGCAACTAGAAAGGTGAAGGCAGTGCCTTCGAGACCATGAACTTCACAACTGGAATACGTTTCCTGCCTGGAAGCAGGGCAAGCGAGCTGAGGAGGAGCTGGAAAGACTGTGCACAAGTAAAAAGAAAACCCACTAACAAAGTATTGGGGAACGGAGTCAACACGCAGCCACAGTTGTGGCTAGTGGGCTGGAGTTGGCATAAGCTACAAAAAATGCTACTGTCCCATTAGCTGGGAGAGGACTTTCATCTGTAGGGTATTACAGAAGCAGCATGAGCAGCCCTGGCATCCTGAATTATAATCCGGTAAAAACATTAGCTGATAGAAATGGGACCTCCCTCACAGAAGTGCTGAATGAAAGAATAAAAAAAAAATTCTAGAAAATTTTCAAAAGAGAACATGAGGGCATTCTTTGAAATGCAATGTTTGATGACACTACAGCCTGGTCCTACCTAAATAACTTACTCTAAACAGCTGTCTTCATGGTGTTGCAACTAAACTCAGTCTTTGGTCCACCTACTGCAGCCGGTGCTAATTGTGGGGCAGAGGTGGAGGACTTCAACACAATGGCCAAGGTTAAAATTACATTGATCACTAGAAAACACTTGATTTGGTTAAAATCACTGCTTAACATCAGATTTTTTTTCTTATTATTAGAGGTACACGGATATGAGCCCTTGCCCGTACCGTGACTCCCATGAGTGACAGAATGACTGTATATTTGAATCTCATAATGTATCAAGCTCCCTCTGGATCTTATCAAATGTCACAACTATCAATATTTATTTGCCCCTCCCTGTGACTAGTTTTAGTGAAGAGGCACAAGGGACATTTTAAAGCATAATGGCAGCCTCGAGAGGAATTACTGTGACACTGTTTAGATAACATTTCATAACAAAATGTCTAGTTTACCCAGAGAGAAACATCACACACCTGCCATCCCAAGTCTTGGAAGCTAACGTAAAGCTCATGCTTTCTGCACGCTGTTTTTAAGTCACTGCTGTTGTAATCTGTTAAAAGAAAAAGAACAAAACAGGAATTTAGAAAGTAAAACAGGCAGAGCATCCCTGGAGGGCACAGCTGGCCAGATGTGTGCATGCTGTGGGCTCAGCAGCGAGAAACGGCAAGCTGCCTCAGCAGCCAAAAGGATAAGGGTGTTGAGGGACATCCAAAGCAGGGCTGAAGCTTTTAAGATGCCTATGGGAATGGAGGCACCCAAGTAACAGTGACTTGGTTATAATTCCATCAGCTGCCTTTAATAACTTGACAAGCAGTGCTTGTAAAACACCTCCAGTAAAATGACTTCTTAAAAATAAATGTAATCCTTCAGCCCAGCACAGGCTACGTCCCTACTGGGTGCTCAAACTCACCCCGCTTCCTTGGCCGCGGTTTCTGACGTGTGCCGCCCTAGGTGGTAAGCTCAAAACGCACACACTTACCAAGAGAATTACAACCCCGGGAAGGTTAATCATCGCCTTGTGCCCCCACACTGGTTAGCAGAAGTCCTTAAACAGCTAAAACGTCCCATAGGCAGTGAAGCCATGTCCCCATTCCTGTCTGTGCCTTACCCCCAGCCTGCCCCGGACACCACACACGGCTCCAGGCACCACCTCTGCTCTTGGACATTTTCAAGCCATGCTCCGAAAAACAAGTTTCTCCTTCCCATAACCCGCTTATCTGCAGATGACACAGGAATTGACACACTCTCAACATTCACTTGCTCCTTAGTACCAATACTGCACGGAAGAGTCAGGGCGCAGGGTGCAAAGCCCCGACCAGAGACCTTCCCCCTTGCCATGGCGCAACGCACAAGGATGTTTCGACCATGCAGGAGCTGCTCCCGATGGCCCTACAAAATGCAGCTTTTGACAGCGAGTGGAATTTCCCATTTACATTTGGAAAGAGAGGCGGCTCTGCACGCGAACACCTGGAACCGCAGCAAGCGGAGGAGCTGAGCCGTGACAGAGGGGCCTTTCACCCCCGGGTGGCTGCACAAATCCAGCCTTGATGGGCGATGGCTGATTTCGTCACACCTCGGGTTGCTGCCGGACCTCAGCGCAGCACCCACAGAAACCACCTTCGCAGCGGGGCGGCTCGGCCACCAGCTACGGCTGCTGAACCCACGCTTCGCGCCCGATGGGAAGCACGAGAGGAAGAGATGGCGGCAAATTCGGCTGAGCGGCATAGGAGTCCGGGTCGCCGTGCTCGTCCCAGAGCTGGACCCAGACTGGCCGTGTTTTCCTCCGGTGTCTTACCCACAGGGGCCTCCTCTCCTCTCACATGCCTCATTTGCAAGTAAAGGCGCGTCCGTCAGCAGGCAGATGCCACACGCTGATGTGCCTGCCTCCCGCTGCCCTGGGCCTTTCGGCTCACCAGCCCCCCCGGCGCCCCTAATGCGGCTTTGAAAGGGCACCCTCCCAGTGTAGCTTTCCCCAAATGCGGCAGCTGGGATAGAAAAATATTTTTAGTGACTTTTTCCTTGGCTCTGAATAAGCCTGTCTTTTTTCTTCCCTCTACCCCCCCCCAAAGTTTGGGAACTACAAATGCAAATATTTATTCAAAAGAAAAACTATAATACTAAAAGCACATCCAACTGACATTAAGGGCAGCACAGCATTACAGCTGGGTACAGTTAGCTCTGAGGTCTGAAAAAACCCTACACCTCAAACCTAGCCTCCAAACCACCAAAGATTAGAGAGTTGTTTTTAGAAGCAGTTTGGGTTTTAAACTTTAAGGATTGCATTTCAGACTTTCAATAGCTTCGCTTCAATCACGGATTTAATCAGGTGAGCAGAGCTGGTTAACAGCCTGCTGCAGCATAAACATTCAGTCTTTCAGGAGCACTCAGTAGCAAGGACGGAGGCGAGTCTCTCTATTCAGGCTTTCCATTTTCAAACCAGACATACCCAGTAGAAACCAGGGTGTGGTGGTTTTTTTCAGATGAAGCTTTTCAGTCCCTGGCTCAGCCCAGGAGCAAATTTCTAGCATGAGATGTTTCTAAATGATCTGGTCATAACAAGGGAAAAAAATGAGCAGAAGATACTTTTAGTGGTCAAAGGCTTTCATTTAAGTACCTGAAAACACAACTTCATTGTTCTTCAATGGGAAATATGTTGTTTGCTTAGGGGAAAACCATCTGTATTTGATAGGGAGTTACAGTGGAGTTGTTCTATTCATAACTGAGTGGGCAGAACGATGCTACGTTCCAAATCCAGCTACAACTTACCCAAATCAGCTACGGGAAAGGGGAGAAGGCAAGGGAGACAGAGAAAACAGGAGTGGGAAGGAAGGCTGTGAGCAATCACAAGTTTAAGAAAACACAGGGGGAAGAAGAAAAAAAAAAAAAGAGCTGCTTAACAAGCTACACGAAGCAGAACATGTTATGAACATGTCCTCTCTCACACTGCCTTAAACTGGCCCCCAAAAATGTGCCTCAGCTCACTGGTTGGAGTCACCTGATTCACATTCTGCATCGAGTGCTGGCTACTCTCCGCCCAAGGTAGATGCAGACAGCTCTACCTCCTTGCTTGCCCAAACTTGGCCTTTGCTTTCATAAATGTCAACATACTAAACATTTGCACTCTCCCCTGTTTAACTCTCACCCCAAGCTCCCCTGCCCTCTCTTCCTGTTACATGTTTGCCTACTTTATGGAATCTACTTTAGCCCAAATTTAGGGATGTTACAACCTGAATTGGGGAAAAAAATGCAGCAATACAGATGCACATAATAATGATCCATTCCCTATGGTTTGGGGCTCGACATATGCCCTAGAGCCGTGTACATTGGACGTACATCCAATTATGGGCCTGAAAAAAGAGGAATCCATAGAGTAAAGGGGTTTTGGCAGTGAGCTAGAGCTCACTGAGCTACTGAAGTTGGCCGCCACGATACATTTTCTCCAAAGCCTGGAAAGCAGTATCAGCTACCCAAGTCCAGCATGCGCAGCTGTTTGAGCCCAAATTACCATTTGAGGTGGTTCGCAGTGCAAGATCCAACTGCCAAGCGGCAACAGGGTACGTATCCCTTCCCGCCAGCCCTGCAGCAGGGAGCCGGGAGGGCCGAGAGGCGGCAGCCTGCAGCGGGGTGACGCTGCAAACCACTGCCGCAGGGCCAGCTTACGCTGCCACGACACAATTTGCAAGGATTGTTTGCCAGAGACCTTCAAAATCTCTGTGAGTTGAGGGAGCTGCTTTGGGAGCTCCTCTAGGCTCGCTGTGGGTTTAGCAAAGTCATCTCTTTTTTTATCCCTGCATGTACCAATTCAGAAACACTAGCTTGGCACTGCATTTAATCACACTGCAAACTATTTTGTCTAAAACAGAGATTTAAAAAAATCCCAAACCCCTAGTTCTGCACTTAAAAATAACTTCCACGGCAGCACAGTTAAAACAGCACAGTTAAGATGGCTTGTCTCTGTCGCTTGTTTGCATTGAACGTTTTCTGCCTTCACCAGAAACTAAATCTGACTTTCTGCAAGCACAGATGTTTCTCTTAAGGTTGGACACTAGCATTTGTGTTGCTGAAAGGGGAGAGAGAATAGCCTGACCCTAATGGTCTTCCTCCTACGGATACTTATGCATCCACCTTAGATTTCCTATAGCCTCTCCCACGTTAAGCGCTGGCAAAGAATATATAAATATTTACTGAGGTCGATCCGTCTGAGAACACCCTTGCCGCTCCCAAGGTGCCAGCTTACCAAATTTCACATGGTAATTAATTACTTCTGTGATTCAAAATAGCTTTGACAGAGGTCTCCAAGGCCAGCCCCTTCTTCTTGGTGTTTGACTTTGGTGATTCGTCCAGATAAAGCTGGTGTAAACTGATCACCCAGTTAATCACAGCCCACTTCACATGAAAGCGATCTGCTTGGGTGGGAAGAAGGGGAGATAGCGGGCTGACATGGACCTGCATGTGAAGGCACATACAGAAACACCGGCCGTGCCGCTCCAGTCTGTAACTGAGCGCTCTACTAAAGAGAAGATTGGCTGTGAGATAAGGATGTTTATTAACAAGACCCTTGCCACCATGAAAGCATTTGGCCTTATTTGCCTTCAGTGTTTGTGCATGCTGCCCTTGGCAGTATTTGGTTCCCATACATGTGGGGAAATCTGCCTGGTGCCATGTACGTCTACCGCAAGGAAAGGCCAGTTGGAAGGCCCCTCCATTTCTCATGGAGCACCTCACACCAGTCCCGGAGGCGCTGGGGTGGCTAAAGGGAAGGACCCGAAAAGGGGCGTTGCATGAGTTTTACTCAGAGCAGCAAGTGAAGCCCAAGTCAGATGTTTACATGCAACTTTCTCCATAAGGAGGGGCTGATGGGAAGGGATGGGCCTGAAGGCTGACTTGCAGAAGAGCAGGGTTATCGCCACTGGACAAGGAGAGAGCCCTGTACAGAACCCCTAACTCATGAAGGAGCTGGCTATATGGCAGGAAAGTCCTTAGGCTCGAGGGTCACCATCTATTACGTTGAGAAGAGTCCTCATCTCTTCAGGTTAACTAGAGGGTCAGCCTAGAGTCCGAGAGCATGAGCTAAACCCATCGCAAGACATGGCCGAGCAAGGGCCTCCAGATCTTGCAGACAACAGCAGAAAAACACTTGTGTGCTCCTCCAACCCACCTCACTCCTCCATGTCCTGGGCCAGAGCTGCCATATGATTTTCTGCCTCAACAGACAAAAATACTTCCTTTTCTTCCTGTTCATCCTGCTTCTGCAGAAGAGCAGAGCTTTGCTCCAGGAATGCATTGACGCAGGACTCTATGTCAAAGCAGTTTATAACTATGGGGGTTACTCAGTTCTGCTTTATATAAGCCAGTCATAATTATGTGTTTATAATACAGGGAAATGAGCATTCTTGGCGAAAAAATACAGACCATTGAGATTCTTATGCCACAGCCATAACCTTAGCATCTGAGCACTTGGTACTGACTGCAGGACAACAACTGCACATCAAAGGGAGCACAGCGGGGTCCCAATCCCGCACGTAGCAGCATGCCTTCATGTAATTCCCCAGCTCACCAGATCCAGTACCAGCCCAGCAGCACACTTTGTGCACTCCAAACTGAGGGCTTGAAATGTTTTCCATATTTAGACAGTAAATGGGGCTTTTTTAAACACACTGCCCCAACCCAACTCGTGGCATCTTTTGGTAAAGGGGTTCATTTTCGGACTGAAGGAAGAAAACCCTGTGTTTTCACTAACATAGAGGAAGGAAGGTTCAATCTACAAAAACCCATCAACACCAGCCAGCTGCCTTGCTCTCCAAGAGAGAGCCTGCCCTCAAGCCCTGACAGGCAGCAACAACCCTGGCTTGCGGGAGAGCACAGACCAAAAATCTGACAAGAGGTAAGATATAGCAAGAGAAGAAGATGTGCAGGTGGGGAGATGCACAGGAGGGGACCACAGTATCCCAGTTATGCACCCGCTTTGGGTCCAAATGCACCAGGGCACCCTCAGAAGAGCAAGGCAGCCTTCAGGTAACCCCTGGGCTCACCTCCTGCTTCATCCTGGGGTGAACACTTCCCCAGTTCCAACATGCATTATCAGGGCATGGATGTAGGAACCCACACAACTAAAAAAGAAAAAAATCCCTGTGATCTCTTTAACACTAAAAACACATATCAGTCATCGGTGCCTCTTGGGCTATTAAATCAACCACTTCTTAAGAAGAACAGAGTCTAAGAGTGTCACACTTAGAAAGGAAAATAAGCTGATGCAGTCTCTCCTTTCTAAACACAGAAACCAACCAAACATACATCTTAACTTTAAATTCCCCTCCTTTCCCCCGCCTTAAATCCACAGAGGCTCAACTATACCTTGTTGACTACTGAACTGCCAAATTCCAGGTTTTAAATTAAAGCTGGCTTTGAGCTAGAAGAGCTCAAAAAAGCCCTTGAGACCACAAAACTACCAGCTATTTTTTCGCTTTTTGTCATTTTATAATTTTACAACCTGATGTGTGGTGTAGTCAAGAAAGCAGTGATGTAAAAATGGCCCTTTTTGCCCAATATATCTGCTCCCTCTGGAGCTTTGAGTCACATAGACTGATTTAATAGTAGTGGTTTTAGCACTGCAAAGCTTGTGGAGCTGGGGAGAGAAAGTTGGAGCCTATCCTGAGTCCGCTACCAGCACCACAAAAGAGCAACGCAGCGAGTAACTTTCCCAAAGTGCTGTGAATGCCTTAAAAAATTAGCTCCCATGATGAAGAGAGTGTGGCAACAAAGCCCACCTGAGGGGGAGAATTGCATGCCACCTGTGTAAAAGCTGGGCTTATTGCTTATAACGCCCAGACAAATAAACTACCTATGCCCTTGGCAAGCCCATCATATGGGAAAGTAACGCAATGAGCAGCCATGATGCCCACCTTTAAAACTGCAGCTTGGAGGCCCCCAAGGAAAACCAGGACCAAAGCAGGTCCCAGCAATTAGGACCAACAGACTGCTCTACCTGTGGGGCTGGCAGAGGGCTCTCATACCAGATTAGATGACAACTGCTCTGGCAATGCCATGCTGGCACTGGCCGGCCTCTGTCAGGGAGGTCAGGCTGCAGGACTGAGTCACTTCTCCTGCCCTTAAAATCCACGAAGCGGTATTTCACACTCAGCTGAGTCCGGCACTTGCACAGCGTAGCATGGGAACTCACAGCCGCTCTGCGGCATGCACCACGAGGACATGCAACAGCCGCTAGTGGCTAACTGCTGCTGGCACTAACCCAAAGGACAAGCCCATCACCATGCTGGGCTGGAGCAATTGGGCTGCATCGGCACACAGCCATGCCCGAAGCCTGGCTGCCAGCCCTGGAGCAGCTCCCAACCTGGCTCTGGTTCCCTGTAGGCTGCCAGTGCCATGGCCAGCACGGGGCCACCTCAGGTGCAGCCTGGCTCACCCACAACCCCAGCATGCAAGAGCAGGGGACAGCCTACAGATTCACACTGGGTGTTTCAGCAGTCTTAGCTCACCTCCCCGTGCTGTGTCTAGACATAAACTAAAAAATACAGCCGCCTCTCTTCCTTGGGGTATAGTCATTTCTAGACACAGAAAAAGCAGGGATCCTATTGGAAATGAAGGGGGCAGCATAAGCAAATTAATCAAGTGACTTGGAACGGGCTGAAATGTTTGAGAGGAAAGAAGGTACTCAATGAATGAAGGACTTGTAGCACTGTGATGCAGGGCAGAGTGGCTGGAAAACAGACACGACTTAGAAGATAGGACGCTCTCAATTTTTGTTAAAATTTCAGAGTTACCACATTTTCCCACCAGCCCGCAAGAGTACTCACAAGGCTGCTGTACAACACCTGCAACCTTTCCACAGCAAACAGGCAAGCCTCTTTGCGTGCCTGGAAATGCACTTCACCATGTATACACTGCTGTTCTCACAAGTAAAAAAAAAAAAAAATCTCATGCTGTTCTACCAGGGTTTTTCCAAAGAAAACTGAAAGAGGACTCTGGTGGAAATGCATATGTGCAATACCAGAAATCTCAGTGTACACAGAGATGGAATCTTTTAAATATTGCATTTCACATAGCACAATTCTAGGCAAATACTGTGCAGCAAGCAACTTACAGGCACAAGAGTCAGGGTTAAAAAACCTCACCCCCCTGAATTCAATGGCCATGACTTCACATGGGGGTCTGGACTCCACCCTGAATTCAAGAGGACTCTCGCAAGTCTTGTTACGTGAGATCCCCTCTTCCATCCCCTTGCAGATGTAACCTGTTCCCCCAAGGAAGAGCATCCCACCTCACACCCCCCTTCTTGCTTTTGCACCCCCAAAGCAAGTTGTCCCAGCTTGTGTTGCGTGATTACCTGTGACACCAGACACCCTGGAAACATCCTGAGCCTGGGTGGAGCGGTTTCGACTCTGTTGCCTACGCCTGCTCGTTGCTGACCTAGTGGTCCGTACGTGAACTTCGCTCACTTTGAAGAAGGCCACCATGAAAGGCTGTTTGTCGTAAGGTCCATCTCGGCCTATAAGGCCTGCTTCTCTAGGATTTACACTGAAACCTTCAAACCAAACAGAAAAGTGAGTGTTAGAGAAACAGTGCAGTTGGATTGCTTCTTCCAGCTTCGGAAGCATTCCACCCCCATAAGCAGTGTTTCCTTTATTCTTGCTCGCACTCTTCTTCTTTAATCACTAAACATTCCCCTCCTGCCACCATGACTTATGGACATTTTTATGACAGCACCCCATCCATCCTGGACAAGAGGCTCCACTGCAGCACCTGGCTCTTTGGTACCCCTATGGCATCTCTACCCTGGTTTAGGCATCAGAGAGGTATACAGAGATATATCAAACACAAAGCCCAGATGTGTCATGAAATTAGTTCTGCTGCCTGTGAAACACAAGAAGCAGAGATGGGATTAGGAGACCTCTAAGGAAAGCAGAGGGCAAAGAGATGGGGTGCTTTTCTCAGTAGCGCAGGGACGGGCTCTCAGCCTGTTTGGGGAGGTGGAGGTTGCCACTAACGTTTCCTCAGGGAGAACAGTGGACAGCCCCTCTGGTCTCACTTGACCCCACAGGTGTACCAAACTCCAGCATTAAGCAATAGGAAGAAAACTTAAGGTTGGAGACTGGTTCCTATAGAGGACAGATGTCACTGTCTTCTTTTTGGTCACCTTCTGCTCAACTTCCTCCTTCCCCACTGCTTATCTTCCAGCACTCAATTTCATGCTCTTTTGCAGTCTCTTCTCTCCTTTTCCACCTTTTGAAGTTTCTGTGGGCTGTGAAATGCTATCATTGCAGCTGCCCTCAGAGGGACCAGCCCCACACAGCGACTGCATCGCTTCTGCAGCGCAGGGCTCCCACCTCGGGTTTGATGAGATCCGAGCAGCAACGGCAGCTGCAGCAGCCAGGAGAGCTGCCATAAGCCCGCATGGGGAGGCGGATACCCACATACCTGCCGTCTTCTCTTCCTTTCACCCCTAAACCTCACCCCCCCTGGGAACCCAGCGCCATGCCCCCTTCCACCTGCAACCCAGGAACTGGGACCTTACCCCAGCCTGCCTCCACCTGCCCATCCTGGTACTGTTCAGAGACACCTGACCTCACTCATGGGGAAAGACATGTCCATCATGGGACAACCCTCAATCTGTGCCCTCAGACGCCTTGCTCATGGTGTTGGCTACAACCACCTACAAAGGCAGGGTGCTCACCCCCCACATCACAACTGGACTCTGTTAGCACCACCTCTAGACAGCATCCAAAAGACTCGCGAGGTGACTCACATTAACTGGCCCGTAACCTACCATCCCGGGTCACCACGCTCAGCTGCAGTCCCATGTTGTGCCGAGGGTTCATCACCCACATGTTACTGGTGGCAGTGACATCAAACTCCAGCCAGCCCTCCTCCGAGGCCCACACTGCCCGCGTGTCCAGCAGAAACAGGTCAGAGGCCCTGCAGAGGAGAAGTGTAATGACAAGATTGTGACGTCTGGGATTTTCTCCCTGGCTTTCGCTGTTGCAGAAACAAAACCTGAAATCGTTAAAAGTGATGTTAAAAGCTAGGAAAAACCCAACGCCCAAAATCTGCCTGCTTATATCCAGAGTTTTGCCATGAGATGCACATGCTTCCGTATGTGAAATTCAGGATTACAAAGGTTTTTCACTTATTTTCTAAGCTAGAGGAAAGCAATCATACTCCTCAGGTCTGCCCATTTCTCCACCAGCAAGGGATTAGTAAGGCACTCTTCTTCCTGAAGAGTGTAATGCTAGCCCTGACAGGACACTGGTCAAACTACCAGCGTTTCCAGGCATTCGATGGCTTTTGTCAAAGCAGTTTCACGGCTTCAGCTCACCTTCCACAAGACAGACCTACCACAGTGGGCCAAAATAAAAAATAAAAATCAACTAACAGGCCAAGCATCAAACAGTGAAGGAAAATGAACCTCTAAAGGCCTCTAAAGACATTTTTCTGAGGCTTATCAACAGGGATTAGAGCGCCTTGTTCCAAGGCTGTTGGTACTGGGTCTCCTTCATGGGCTTCAGCTTCAAATGCTATCAAGTCTATACCTTTTTAGCAGTATCAAATGCCCCCAAAACTCAGCAATGAAATTAGCTGGAGAAGCACCCAGAGAAATCCCGTGTACATTTTCTCACTGTATTATAGGCACAACTTTCCTGGGCAAGAGAGCTACAGTTCCTATCCTTAACCTGTGGCCATCATGACAAAATGGATACCAGGTGTCAATCCCATCTTCATCTGTCTTTTCTCTCTGAATTTTTTTTTTCTAACAATAACTTAATGGAAATGGGAAAACAGGGTACCTGTCCCTTCCACCCATCAAAGGTTAACTTCAGAAAAAAAACATTTTGATTGAGTTACATTTTATTTTTGGCCAACTGCTATGTCATACTGCCCAGCAGCTTGGTTTGCATGAGATCACACATGGAAAAATAAGCACTTAAGTATATTAGGGCTCCTAGTGCGGCTATTTTTACAGCGTGGAGGCTTTCCTCCGCCTCACTGGTAGCCACACGCTCTGTGGTTGACTCAGCAGCCTTTCCCACAGGAGTCTTTGCCACCACTCCTCCAACGGGAAGAGGGTTCAGGAACAACTCTGACCTTCACCTCCAACAGCAGCGAATGGCTGGGGCTGGCCAGCTGCTACATGTTTTGGAAACCTTAAGGTTGAAAGATTTGGGCTTTCCCAGGCAGGGTATATAAACTGAAGTGTTGCTTAAAGGAGACCGCAAACAACAGCTGCAGCTGAGACCACTCTTTCCCTCTCCAGGTTTAAGAGAGGAATGAACTGCTAAATCACTCCCGCCTCTGAATATGACTTACACATTGGTCCTCTCCAATGCTTGAAATGGCCTATATCTGAAAAGGGGTTTTCCTAGCACCTGTTCTGACCCCCCCCCCCCCCAATTGCTTTTTGATCTCCTCTCCCATCTCCCCTCCTCTAAGTGCCATACCCTCCCCAGCACTCGCCCACTCCAGACAATGTCCCACTGGAGCCTCCAGACTAGAGTTACTTTGGCGTTACATGCCCCCAAACCAAACATGTCTGGCTGCAGAGCCACTGGGAACTCTGTAACAGCAAAGCCCCATGAACACTCAACCACATGGGATTAGTCAGGTCTACAAAAACATGAAGAGAAGGCTCAGAGCTTATATTCCCATTTCCTTGCACTTTGGGAAAACACTTGGACATCACAGAGCTGTAAAGCCTGGAAGGACCACATGGCATCATTTAGCCCATTCCCCTGAAATCCGGGCAGGATCAACTACATCCACATCACTCCCGAGAGATGTTTGCCTGACCTGATCTTATAGATTTCCAGCCTCAGGAACTCCACCATCTTTCCAGGAAATTCAGTGGGTTTCACCTGAAGCACATTTTTTTTGTTTGCCTTTCCCCATAATAGCTAACTTAAATGCCACAACAATCTCCCTTCCTTATTAAAATAACATCTTTAGTCTTTCCTTGCAAGCCACATTTTATAGACTGTGACTATCTGCATTGCTCTTTATAGATCCAACTCAGATCAAGATCTCACTAATGCTGAGTACAGTGAAAGGATAATCCTGTTCTGTCTCACAGACTATGCCTCTACTTATACATCTCAGAATATGATTTTTGGCTTCTTTGCAAAACTCACACTGTTAACTCATGTTCACCTTGTGATTCACTATAATCCTTAGATTCATCCTACTGGACCGCAAAGGACCCAGCCACTTCCTTGGGTGTATTTACATCACCAATTTTTCACGTCCAAATGCAATTATTCTTTCCATCAAATCACACTTTTTTTTTTTCCCCAGATTGAACCTCCATCATTATTAGATTACTTAAAATACAGACTTGCCTTCCTTTGGGTCACCCCCATCTTAGTGTCCTCCACAAATGTGATAAGCAAACTGCCTGACCAAGGTACAATTCTATCAAACCAGAATGCTCCACTTTATCCCAGTATGTCACACTCGCTTTGAAAGATTTCAGATCCTTTGTAAAATGCAGAAAAATGGACAACTGGGCCTTCCAATCCAGTTAACTCTTTGCAAAAAGTTTCATACAGGACTGGTTTTCAATCAAATCTGCTATTCAGCTGACTTTTGCATCATTCGACCAGATGAAGTCAGCACTGAAGGTTTACCCCACAGGTATTGTAGGTCACAGTAGTAATGCCAGCAGGTAACACATCCTAATATTTTCTGCTTAAGCGTCTTTTCAATTAATGTTTGTCACCCAAACCTCACCAGGCTGCACAGAATTGCATATAATTTTTTCTAATTTTTTTTGGTTTTGGCATGAAGGTTTTAAAAAAATATTCAGTCACCTATTTCCAAAGACAAAATTAAGGGGGGAAAAAAAAATTTACTCACATAAAAACGAATCCCAACTATTTAACTGAGAGTCTTTAAGCACTCCTTTATTTTTGCAGAATAGAAATGTTGTATGTCCTTCCTCCTTTAAGAAAATCACCTCAAATTCGGCCAAGCAGTAAGTACTTGAAAATTGCTGCCCACACAGGCTCAACAGAGATTCAGAGCTTAGCAACAAAATCCTCTGGACTTTTTGTATGCAGGGAACATACTTTCCCCTCGGTAAACCAAATACCGTGTATCACCTGAGGGGAATCTGCTCTTCCTTACAGCCACATGGCCGAGAAGAAATGTCCTTGCTACTCCTGCAGAAAAGCCATACAATGTCTGATCTTACAACAGAGACCGCGAGATGTCCCAGGCTGGCCCCAGGTAGAAGGGAAAGAATAGTGAAGAAGGTAGCAGTGACCTGCTACACCACTTAGACCCACACAAGTCTATGGGGTCGGATGGGATCCACCCAAGGGTACTAAGGGAGCTGGTGGAAGTGCTCACCAAGCCACTTGCAATCATTTATCAGCAGTCCCGGCTAACCGGGGACGTCCCAGTTGACTGGAAGTTAGCAAATGTGACACCCATCTACAAGAAGGGCTGGAAGGAGCATCTGGGCAACTACAGGCCTGTCAGTCTGACACTGGTGACGGGGAAGGTTATGGAGCAGATCATCCTGAGTGCCATCATGCGACAGCATGCCCAGTCAGCATGGGTTTATGAAAGGCTGGTCCCGCTTGACTATCGTGATCTCCTTCTATGACAAGGTGACCCGCTTAGTGGATGAGAGAAAGGCTGTGGATGTTGTCTACCTGGACTTTAGTAAAGCCTTTAACACCACTTCCCACAGCATTCTCCTGAAGAAACTGGCTGCTCATGGCTTGGACAGGTGTACTCTTCGCTGGGTGAAAAACTGGCTGGCTGGATGAGCCCAAAGAGTTGTGGTGAAGGGAGTTAAATCCAGTCAGCAGCTGGTCACAAGTGGTGTTCCCCAGGGCTCAGTATGGGGGCCAGTTCTGTTTAATATTTTTATCAATGATCTGGATGAGGGGATAGAGTGGACCCTCAGTAAATCTGCGGACTTGTTGGGCAGAAGTGTTGATCTGCTTGAGGGTAGGAAGGATCTACAGAGGGATCTGGACAGGCTGGATCTATGGGCCAAGGCGAACTGTATGAGGTTCAACAAAGCTAAGTGCTGGGTCCTGCACTTGGGTCACAACAACCCCAAGCAACGCTACAGGCTTGAGGAAGAGTGGCTGGAAAGCTGCCCGGCAGAAAAGGACCTGGGGGTGTGATCAACAGCCAGCTGAATATGAGCCAGCAGTGTGCCCAGGTAGTCAAGAAGGCCAACGGCATCCTGGCTTGTATCAGAAATAGTGGGGCCAGCAGGACTAGGGAAGTGATTGGCCTCCCATACTCAGCACTGGTGAGGCTGCACCTCGAATACTGTGTTCAGTTTTGGGCCCCTCACTACAAGACAGACGTTGAGGTGCTGGAGCGTGTCCAGAGAAGGGCAACAAAGCCGGTGAAGGGTCTAGAGAAGAAGTCTTATGAGGAGCAGCTGAGGGAACTGGGCTTGTTTAGCCTGGGGAAAAGGAGGCTCAGGGGCAACCTTATCACTCCCTACAACTACCTGAAAGGAGGTTGTAGTGAGATGGGTGTCAGCCTCTTCTCCCAAGTTACAAGTGATAGGACAAGAGGAAATGGCCTCAAGTTGTGCCAGGGGAAGTTTAGATTGAAAGGGTTGTCAAGCATTGGAACAGGCTGCCCAGGGAAGGGGTTGAGTCACCATCCCTGGAGGTATTTAAAAGACGTCTAGATGTGGTGCTTAGGGACATAGTTTAGTAGTGGACTTGGCAGTGCTAGGTTAACGGTTGGACTTGGTGATCTTAAAGGTCTTTTCCAACCTAAACCATTCTATGATAATATCTAATTAGATAGGGAAGGGTGAAGGATCTGTTGCAGTTGTGGGGGACACACGGACATGCAAGGACTAGATGGAGCGACCCTGGATAGAAGGAAAAAGTCTGCAGAGAAAAGGGAGTAGGAAGTACCCATGGCCACCACACCTCTGTGAA